AGCGGTTTGGAAATAACAAACGACCACTTGAATTACTGCTGGTCGTTGTCAAAAATTCAGGTAAACATAATCCCGAATGCATTGGAAATTACTCATAAGTTGCCGATCGTTAGCTGCCAGTCACCACTATGTGCGTTGAAATAATCCTTCGATTACCGGTCCAGAATACCTATTTTATAAGGTCTGGGTCATGAAGCGCGATGGATTTACTTTCCGCGGTCCAGAACACATCACAAAGCCAACGAAAGTAGTGAACACTCCGGGGTGAGGCCAGCGATTTTGTTTCCAAGTACCGATGAGCTGACCGCAGTAGTTCATTCCGATCATTCCAAACAGGTGATCATTATTCCACAAGGCGCGGTAGCCAGAGTCGAACAAATTCTTGATAACTTTAGTGCGGAGTGGTTTTGTTTTCGCTCTACACTGTGACAAGAATGCGATTTCAACCTGGTACACTATAACTTTAACTGACAATGCCGTCCACATGGATGATTTAGTCTCCGAAAATCAACTCGGATTTTACTGGGACTGAAGTAGCCTCCGGCTTTGATCATCAGAGACGATGCAAATCCAAGAATGAGTATACCGATCGGCTGCTTTCAGTGGGTGTTTGGCTCTAGGTAGCATTGATCACGTATCGGTCTATTGTAGTACATCCTTCTCAAATGTACTCAAACAACCTTCACTCATCCGAGCAGTTAGTTCTTCATATTCCTCGGAGACATGCATTCCTCGCTAACCTTGGATGATTCAATGCTATTACCTGCCAGGCCCAAGTGAGCTGGGTGTACATCTGTCTACGTCTCCATATGAGTATCCCGAAACCGTCCCATGCGAACAAGCGGTTGTTAACAGCCACAATTTACGACCACCGGTGAAATTACTACACTAAACTGACAAGGAATAAGCTGCAAAGCTAGCACCATGAGGTGGAAGATCGACGGAGGAATTGTTAAGATTAATAGGTGTATTAGGCTGTGTTCCCTCACACTAAAAATATAAAAACCCATATAAAGGGGCTCGAACCACTAGGCATGGGAGAGAGGTCCGGCAGCTGAATCCGAGGCGTTTGCATTCACCACTTGCCATTTGCTAAACATCTTTTTTTTACCTTGCCTACTTTTGAGATATTACTTTTAAACAGCTCTTTAAAACGTTTGTCCGGAAGATTTCCAATTCGACTGAGACCGTTGCACCTTATCCAGCTCTTGAATTAGATACTGCGCGCAGGTCGTGACTGGTGCCTCTTATTCACGAAATATTGACGTCATCTTAAACCAATAACTAGAGAATATTTTATAAAACTGCCTTGTTTACTGCATGCAAATCTACTTAACAAAGTGGTAGCTTTGTGTTGAGAATGATCGCCATTTTCTCTAGGGACAGTAGTGTACTCTCTTCCCCTTTGTGTAACCATTTATAAACTTTTGCATCCTAATAATATCAGTTTAATAAATTTGTTGTTTGTGATGGAAACTGTTATTGATGTACCCGTCTGGGTACATAAAGCTTACCTTGACCGACTGAATGCAATAAAATGACTGAATTTTCCTATTATGTACAAGTGTACCTAGCATAGCAAGTCGAAGCCCAGGTCCATCAAATGATCATATTTGACAGTAACCCAGTGAGGTTACTTGAGGACATGGGGTTACTCTTGGTGATTTTCAGCGATAAAAGAACTATCCAAACTGACTGCCAACAAAGACTGCGAAACTAACCTCATACCCACTGCCCAAAGTAACGAAAGCGGACGTATTCAAAGTGCACGTAAACCAGGGCACGATGAGTGCCGTTGTTTGAGAAACAACTCGCCACGTACACACAATTTACAACATTTAGGCCGAAAATCGTTCACGTGGATAAATTAAACCGGTGTGTAAAACGGTTTACATTTATTAAGTGATCAGGTGTGGGAGGTGCGGCTATGTGTGCGCCTACCTCATCTGGGTATTGCAGCTCTACCAAACACATTTGTGAAGACATTTCGTTCGAAAGATTTGTTGCAAATATCACGACTGCCTTTCATTCACAGAGGGCATTACACACACTAATGAGAAGGATATGTAACGAGACGTTGCAAATTAACTATCGATAAATTCCAGGATTAGCACCATTGCTAGTTGATGGTAAGTGTGAACGAGGTAGGGAAAATTGGCTCAGGGAATACTCTCGATAGACCCTCCGGATTTGCCTGTCACTGCGACTGCGAGCAGCCACAGAACGTTTGTGCCTCCTCAGGGACTATATATGACATGTAATGCAGCAGACACAGCTCCTTCCCTACACTACCTTTTCATTACAAACCCATACTAATTAACTGGGAGGCATGTGGATGCGATCTTCGATTGCTTTGGAACCCATCCACAACCTCTTACACCTTCGCTTGAACAGAGATTAACTTACTTAACAGCCGTACAGGCAGCACTGGCTGGGTGGTAGTCCATTGCATCCTAGATGCCACTACACTTGGAACTTAGTACTGCCAAGAAGACCGCGGATCCCGTCTCCCACAATAACGAGTAACAGTCTCCTGGAACCAGTTGTTAAGGTGGCGGTAGTCGACAGTTAGACACCCCGTCAATACCAACATCATGGGCTGCCGGACCTTGGATAACAATCGACAAATGTCATCAATCATGCGAAAACATCAACCACATCGATACATGCCCAGGTCAACGGCAGCGACGATGCAACACAAGTGCTACGCCTGTCATAAATACAACCAGAATTAACGTACTTAACATGCAATGACGTTTATCGATTCAAGTTACCCTCCGCCTTTACAACATTAAGCACTTGTGCCCACATTAGTGGCTTATTTGACCGACTAGACTCAGGTGCACATGACCCCAAGTGCTAATGCACCAGGTGTATGATGCTGACTAACGACTCCATCGGAGCCTACCGCATGCTTCATCAGCATTTTTATTTCTGGTGCAGCAGTCTGAACAGCAGCAGCCTGGACAACGGCATTACTGATGTGAACATTCCATTGCCAGTTATCCACTGTCATTGTTTCTTAACACCTAGTGTTCATAGTAATTTGTGATAAAACCCCTTGATCTTATCCTGATAATGTGGCCTCCCTTTGCGCAGATTTCGCTTCCCTTCACACCCTAGTCCATACAGCAGACGTCTCGATAGCCTGGTCGCATCCATAAGACGTACATGTCAGGGCGTCCTTGTGTCGGAGTAGCGGCATACAATCCATACTGTACACTCCGCTCCGGCAAAACACTAATATCTCACGATTACCTTACCCCATCAAACGCGCAGAATCCGACGCAGATATTGCTGGCAAAGATGTTCCACATATCGGATGTCCTCTCTGTACAGATACCATATTTCACTACCGTAAAGGTGGTTAACCTCATGACACTAAACAGAGCAGAGATTAAGGCACAGCCTTGTTTCACACCCCAAGCGGCATCGCAGTCATCCGAGGGATACGCATAGCCACACTCACGCTCGCTTACGAATCTGGTGGTGTCCAATAAGACTAACAAATCTACCTGGGTAACAAAACTTACCCAAGTCCGTTCACTGTGCATTTTGATTCATCTTGCAAAATGCTTTGGTGAAATCCATGAGCAACGAGCAGAATGGCTGGTTTCAGTCACAGCAGTGGATGAGCCGCGAGCACTGTATCCCTCATGCTGCGGCCCTACCAGAATTTGCATTGCTCTTTGGTTCAACAACCTACATGTCACGTGGTCAAGCCGAATTCTGGCAATCATCAGGCTGACACAAGTTAGCAAACTCTCGCCACGATAATCGTTGGCACATTGCTCGCTTCCTTTATCCCTGTATAATTGTAGCACGAGGGAATACTTTACCTTAACAGGCACCTGTAAGTCAAAGCACAAAGGTTTTACCTAGTAGTGCAGCGTTTGTAACATCACGAGGGCACCCATTTTCAGCATCTTTAACGGTGTTTGAGTAGCAAAGATGCAATGGAAGTTTTACAGCTGAGAAACTGCTCAGTGCTTTTCACCAACACTTGTTGTACCGTCATACTTGATCTTCAAATTTTGTAGCTGCCATCACGTAACGTATTTCAGTCAATCTCTAGTCCGTTGTACAGGAGGTACTAAAAATTTGCGCTTCCTATCTGCGGGTCATCGATAAACTGTGCACAGGTAACATCCGAGTTAGCGTCTACCATTGTCCTCAGTGGCTGTAAAGTAGGTCCTTACATTACACTGAATTCTTCATGATGGCGGTGTTTGGCCTAGCGCTCCCTCCACTCCGCGTTCACCTTTCACTATACACTCTCGTTACACCGCGGCTATCGATACAATCGCTGACGCATCGTGCAAAACTTGCTTTCTTCTCCGAGTTATCGGTACCCTCCACATGCACCACGTATACCGCATCCTTCTAAGACGTCAGTGCGCTAATGGTTGATATGTTGTCATTGAACTAATCGGGCCACTTGCATTTGCGCGGTCCATCGCCTCCTCAGTGGCGTAGGTTATTTGTTGCTAAAAGTGATTTCACAGAATGCTGACTCAATCAATGAAATTGATATGACCTAGACAGGTCATTATCGCAAACTCCAGTTGACACATCTTCCTAACAGCACCTAGAGAACGAACCTAAAAATTCCATCGGTTCAAAGCAGCAGTACTCACTTTTTCAAGATATAGGTACAATTTGGCGCACACCAAGTTGTGACCAGTTCCGCGCTCAGATTCACGCAGTCCACGTGTAATGCACACTTTACACGTCACCTTGGCGCATGATAATATAGTCGAGAAAGTGCGCGCGACCGCTCCGCGGGTGCGTCCTAGTGGCAGCATCACACACCACTTGTTGCAAACTGTGTGGACAAGCGGTCATCGTTTCATTTTGCCACCTTAATACCATGAGGCTTGATTACATCTGCCCATACCATTGCATCACGCCTAACGCGCGCAATGAACGCTCCCTGTAGGAACAGTCGGTTGCACCTCAGTGCAAGCCGTATCACGGAGGACATTTGGGAGGAAAACTGGTCCTGATCATATATATATATATATATATATATATATATGCGCTTAATGTGAATGTTTGCAGGGTGCCTACATGCTGATAATTCCCACCTCAATAACTGGTTCCAAAATAATGTCCGTTGTTATCGAGGGAGACGGGATGCACTGTTTACTTGACAGTGATAAGCTCAAAGACTGATGCCATCCAGTGTGGAAGGCGCTACCATCAATTCATCGATCAGTGTACGTCAGGTGTGCGTGCTTCTCCAGTTCGAATGAATGAAGTGTATGGTGCGTATTACGTCTCTGAATCAATCGTGGCTCCTATCTTCACTCCTCATTTTATTTCTTCGGGTTTACACTGGATATGCTGTGCGTGTATGGAGCAGTGAATTGTGCAGCGCAAGCCACCCATGGTCCCTGCGTAGACACAGGCTTTCTGTGGCTGTTCGAACACACACTGGTAGGTAAATCCTGAAACGTACGCCGCCCATCATTTGCAGAGAATTGGCGAACACGTACAATTTCTGGTAATCTTTTTCGCTAACTTGCTGTTCTCGCAACCACAGAGCGCAACTGCTGGTAGGCTTTTACTTTCAGACTGGGGTGGATGCTACTTCGTCGTCAAAGATAAGATAGGCTATCGAAACCTACTAAGCATTGGAAATGAGCCGAAAGCTCGTCTTATATTTCTCAAAATAGACGTGAGAATGAAATGCTCTTGTCCGGTTCTGTAGGAAGACATTACATCGTAAGGTCGGAGGTAATTTGGAATAATAGAATATACCCTGTGTACTGTTGCAATCGTACTGAATGAACTGCTGTGTTATTGTTAACGTGTTTGAAAGCCATTACAAGATTAGTAAGGCAGGATGGTAGTGGCAACTACAGTCGATAGTAGTAGCACCCGTTTTGTATTCGCTTTAAAGCTGGGTTTGACTCCTGCGAAGGTAAAATTGAGATTATTGGATGTAACATGGTATATCTCACCCTCCCATTTTATGAAATTGCACTAACCATGTTTCGTCTCTTTTCTCTTCAGTGTTACCACAGAGCCAAAGCTGTTTCTCTCACACCAACCATCTTGCTACCGAACTCAACATTAAACTGCACCGAGAAACACTACTTGCCTTTGGAAGCTAACCCTCTATTTGAGAATCAATATGTATCGAGCAACAACTCTGTTGCCCACGTTCCAACCAATGTGTACGATTTGTGTGAGTTGGAATATTTTCTCCGGCTGGAATTTATCCCTAATAGGGGAAACCAACTATCAGTGTTGTACGTCTATGCGTTCCAGGTGTGTCAGTCTTCAAGACTTGCCAATGAGCGTAACCATTGGTTTTGTCGCCCCAACCACTGTGATCTATTTGCAATTGGATGGCACCTTAAGCCTCATGGGAAAAAGCACTGTTTAACGCCTCATACAAATAATTGAACAAATAACTTTGTCTCTTGTGAGCGTGCTGCCCTTTAATCCTTGTGGCGGTCTATGGAAGTTGGCGCTCAGATGCTGGGTTTGAGGAATGATGGATGCTAATGGCATTCAGTAACACACTTCACAACTGACTTCGGACCTCATTGTAATTTATGGAAAATTATATCTAGATTTAGCACTAGAGTACCAGATAAATACGACATTAAGTTTTATCAAACAAGATGGTGATTACATTTAAACCCTATTTGAATGTTCCGACCAAACTAATTTCATTGCTAATTATTTTATAAATAAATCTTCATGTAAATGTGTTACATAGGACATTCTTCTCAACACCGTACTACTGGTAGACATCCTACGTTCCTACCCACGTTTTATGGCCTCACCCATAACTGGAACATGAAGTTAAGACGACGTTTGAAGTTTAGCATGTTATGAATCTGAATTGTCCTATTTTTAAGTTGTTTAATTATTGTAACTTTTCTTGTCGCAACGTACATTTTTCGGTTTCCATAAGCTGGGATTAAGTTGTGAAGGTTTTGATCACACTCTGCACTTGACAGCAACAAAATAATGTAAGCAGTTTTGTTTACCGGGATTTCACGGGATGTCAGTGACGCTGAAGTTCGTCCACCACATGCAACTACTTTCAGAGAGTATACCCTAGCTAAATGTACCACGTGTTAAACAGCATCAAGGCAAGCATTGATAATGCATTCATAATTTGATCGCTACTAAAAAAAATCTTGCGGTTTGTTTCAACTCCAGCAAACGCTTTGATGGCTGTGGGTGGTTGGACTGCATCACTTGATTCGGTCTTTAAAGAGAATACGGTACTCGATCCGACGGTAAAGTGGCAGTACTTTGGAAGTTCCACGGGATTTTTTCGCTTTTATCCAGGTACGTTTGGTTGTAGACTTGATCCCGAAGGACTCCCAAGGTTGAGTCATGTTTTAGATGATTGTATGATTTAGCCTAGCGTAGTTATCAATGTTACAAGTTCAGTGGGTAGGATTGCTCTGTGTTTTGCTAAGTAGCTGCGGACCAGGAGCGATGCGTAATCCGGCATATTATCATGACACAAAATCCAAGTCTGATTTTCCCACAGTTCAGGACTCTTCCTACGCACGGCATCCCTCAAACGCGCTATGATTTGTTGGAATGTTCCTACGAGGATGTCCACTACGTCAGCAACTACTCGAGCATTTAAATGATGATTTCCACGGAGCACAGCACGTACTCTCCCAACACGGTCATTGTTGGTTGATGTGGAAAGTCGTCCAAGTTTGGGATCGTAACTGACCGACATTCTGTCGTGTTCAAAATGCTTAAACCACTTAGAGCATTGCGTGCAACATACAGTCCACCAGGTATGCTTGGCTAAGCAATTGAAATGTCCCTGTAAACGTTTTGCCAAGTTTGTAGCAAAATTTCACAGAAGCGTATTTCTTCAAGCTCTTTGATTGTCTCTTTGACACTAATCCGACGAACAGCTTGTACAAGGGCTCACTTCAGCGGCTGTAGCTCCCCAACCAATAGTCAGGGCGAAATGCGGCAGATTGTAGTTTGTTGTCCACGTACGCCTGCACATGCACTCAGTAGCCGTAGCGCACTCCCTCTGCCGGTTGTCTGGCTAGTTGAAAAGTTCGGTTTCTTTTTCAGCACCTCAGTATATCTAAACCAGAAGAACACTAGCTAAACTTACTTATTAGTAAGTTAATTATTAGATCTGAGCTGCCCCTCAAAATGAGTTCCATTCACCAGACACAAGTTTTTATACTTGGAGCAAACAGCTTCCATGTAGGTCCGGTCGGATCAGGCATAATTGATAGATTCCGCTAGTAATAACATCACATATGGTTGGACGCTGTTGTGTGAAGTACATTTGCTGCTTTGTATCCACTTCGATTTCAGGTGCAATGTGGGAAATACAGTTGGATGAACCCAGACTGGATTTTTTCGACTGTCGTTCACAACCCTGGTAGGTGTAAGTCGGTATATCTTGCTTGCATAAATCTCTGTGCAGGTGGATTTTTGTGGTACCTACTTCTATGTCATTCAGTTTCATGAATGATTACCTAGGTCTGTGAGGAGCAAGCGTCATCTGTTCAAACAGGGCAGCATTGGCAGGTCATGTGCGCATCTCACACCAATCTAAGAGTAGGATTTTGTGTCTGCACGGTGCTTAGGGTAGTAGAGGTTTCCTCAAGCCCACAAGAAGAGTAAAGGTTCATTAGTTATGATGAAGTATGGCAATTCGGCTAGCAATTAGCCTTCACCCATTAGGTAGCCCTGCTTTTTCAACAATTTTCAAAGATGCCGATTAAAAATTGATTATAATGCTTTGTTGCCAACTTATTCGGCAAGGCCACGTAAGTCTAAACATTCTTTCTTGGGTTCACGAGAAAACTGATGTAATCCCGGTCGCTACCCGTTGTACTAGCAGTAGCATCGCTGTTGGTACAGCTACTATTTTAAGAGGATTGGATGAAACTAGATACTAGTTGCGAATTCGTTACAAAGACCCTTTCATCGTGCAATGGTGAACCGCGGTTTGGGAGACAGCATTAGTTTCTACCGACGAACTTCACATGCAACCAAGAGAAGGAAACAATTTGTCTGGTGTGTAAACACTATAAACAAACCAAAGTAGTAGAAGCCGAAGCACTAATACTACGATGTGATCATTAGAAAACTTCCCAAGTGAAACCTAGCACCACAATCTACAAGTTTAATTTCATCTCTCATGTAAACTTTTTAATACCTGGAAGTAGCTCAAATCAACATAGGCGTTATCTACTGAAACCGATGCACTTTCGACAACCACGCTGTTGTAGCGAGTTTGCTAAAATATGGCAAGGACTAGACCTAAAAACGGAAAAATTGTAATGGAAGTTCCGTGTGCTTTTTACCCTAACAACTAACCACACAACCTAATGACGCCATTGGAATCGACGAGAAAACGTATCAGTCACAGCTATATGAGACCACGATACAATAAAGCGGAAAAACCAAGATAATAAGCTTAACTGCTTGAAGCCGTTTATAATCTTAGAGAAGGCTGATGGCAGGCAGACCTAGTCAACACAGCCATCATACATTAGAAAAGCATTAGATGACCGCGTTCGACAAAACAGAAACTGATATAACCCGAACTGTTCTAGTAGGTGGATAGAATACTAGATCGTGGAAATGACCGGTAGTATTGATACAGTGGATCAAGAGATGCTAACAAGCAGAGTCAACAAATTGTCAACAGGAAGTTCACGTGTTTACCAGACTCACTGGGGTATATCGGTTTTGTTGGTTCCAGCTAAGTGGTGATTGGCTGGACAGTTGTATGGTTTGATTGGATGACAGCACTCCATGTTGGGTTTGGCCCGAATACGATACCTCCCTCTTCTTTTGACAAGTCTGCCTGTAGTTGCTAACCGTTCGGTATAGATGAAACGATCAGGTGGTCGGCGGTTGCGTCTGTGAACCGCATCCAAATCTGACATCAACGCTTGGCTTTCGTTTTCCACTCGATCCGAATTTGCATTTGTCGGTTTCGGCAACGAGAACTCCAGTAATAACTGAAAATCAAACTGGGAATTTTGACGAAGTAAATACTGATTGTTATCAGAGCGGTGTCTGAGCTGATTCATATGCCTGTGCCATGTCTGACCGTTGACCTCTACTAGGTACGTGACTCGACCAATCCGTCTGGTGATTACACCTGGCGTCCATCTGTTTTGCGATGGCCGGAAGTCTCTTGTCCATACCAAGTCACCTGGTTTTAATGTTCTCGCTATTACATGCTGTTTGGGTTGCTCTGATTCTGTTGTTTCCGGCTCAGCTAATTCTCTCACCTCCGGAACGATTATGTCCCAAATTAACCTGATCTGACGGTTAAACAACATTTCCGACGGTGACCTTCCGTTACAAGATGGGTGTGGTGTGATTCGATACATCATTAGGAATGTGTGTATGCAATCGTCCCTGGGGCCGTCGCCTCGCCCTTTGATAAGTGCACGCTTGAACGTGTCGACGAATCGCTCAACCTGACCGTTCGATTGCGGATGAAAGGGTGGTGTGTGTATGCGTGTCACCCCGTTAGAACGACAAAATGTGGCGAATTCTTCGCTAGTAAATTGTGGGCCATTATCGCTGACTAATGTCTCCGGCATTCCGAATCGGCTGAATATTTGATGCAACTGTCTAATTAATGGTGGATGTTTGTGAGTAGTGTAAAGTTCGAAGAAAGTAGAAGCCACGATTAAAATTCACGCACAATAATATGCCTCGACGGGGAGTCGAACCCCGGTCCACGAATTTCCGGTCCGTTGCTCTACCATCTGAGCTACCGAGGGCTGACGATTAGGTGCGCAAATTTTAACACATGTCTTCTGCTTGGTGCGCGACGTGTTGCCAATAAGCTCACAGTACCTGTCCTGATGTTGCAGATTGGCTCACTCACCCGTCGAGGCATATTATTGTGCGTGAATTTTAATCGTGGCTTCTACTTTCTTCGAACTGTCTAATTGTTGCGACTGCAGTGGTCGTCGGCATTGTTACAACCTCTGGCCATTTACTATGAGCGTCAATCACGATGAGATAAGATTTACCCTCTATTGGGCAGGCTAAATCTACATGTACTCTTGACCACGGCGTGGTCGCTAACGGCCATGGCACGGGGGCCAATTTGTTTGGTGATTTTTGCGTGGTCGCACAGTTTTCACACCGCGTACACAGGTGTGAGATATCATCATCCATCCCTGGCCAATACACGTAACTTCTAGCTAATGCTTTGGTGCGGGTGATTCCTTGATGGCCATTGTGAAGTTGGGTGAGAATGGGCCGTTGTAAAGCTGAGGCAACAACTACACGTTCAGCGAAAAGCAAACACGAGTCAACGATTGATAAGCTGTTTTGGCACCGGTGATAGGGGATGAGTTCTGCATCTGATACCCTCGATGGCCAACCTTCTTTCACGTGTTTCATCACCTTACGTAGTACGGCATCCTGCGATGTGTGCTGCCGGATGGATTTTAGCGAGACTGGTTGGGATTTCGCGGTGTCGAGAATTACCCGATTGATCTCCTGATCCAATTTAACACTAGCAATCACTGTCTCGTTGTTGTCTGCTGGATGATCCGCAATTAACCGAGACAACACATCGGCTTGCCCAAAATCTGTGGTCGATCGGTAATGGATGCTAAAATCGTAGGCCAGTAAGGATAGAGCCCATCTCTGTAGACGGCTGGCTGTAGTTGCCGGGATGCCTTTATGTGAACCAAATATGGTCAGCAAAGGTTTGTGATCCGTCAGTAACTTGAAACGTCTACCATATAGCATTTTGTGAAATTTATTGATAGCAAATATGATAGCCAGGCCTTCCTTTTCAACCTGGGAATAATTTTTCTCTGCTGATGTTAACGATCGTGCCACGTGGATAGCTGCTTTCTCAGAACCGTCTGGGAAGGTGTGGGACAACACAGCTCCGATGCCATAGTTGCTTGCATCGGCAGCTACCACGATTGGAAGTTTGGGATCGTAATGCGTGAGAAGGAGATCGGAAGTCAGCATATCTTTAATCCGATCTACCGCTGCTTGACACTCTGCTGACCAAGTAAACTTGACCTCTGAGTAATGCGTTTAGAGGTGCTCGCAGTTGATGCATTTCCGGGAGAAAATTAGAATAGTGGCTAATCATGCCAAGAAAAGAGCGTAGCGCACTGACGTCTGTTGGTGCCGGCATGCTAACAATAGCTGAAATATTGGCTGGGTCGGGACGACGTCCATTCTGATCAATAATGAACCCCAGATATTTAACTTGTGGCAAAAGTAAGCTGCATTTGTCTGGTCGCAAGCGCAATCCGTACACTTTTATACGAGCCAAAGCTTGGTCGAGCCTCACTGCTAGCTATTCTGGACTTGTTCCGACCACTAAGATATCACCTAGGTAAGCTGCAACACCGTCAATGCCCGTGAGCATGATATCCATAAGCTGCTGGAAAATAGCTGGTGCGGTTTTAACCCCGAATGGCAATCGGTTTAACTGAAACAATCCACGGTGTGTGTTAATTGTCAACAATTCCTTTGACTCATCGTCAATGGCGATTTGAAGATATGCATCAGCTAGGTCAAGTTTGGCAAACAGTCTACCGCCTGAAAGTTTGGCAAAAATGTCTTCTGGGACTGGTAGTGGATAACTGTGTGTCTGAAGGGCGTCATTGAGACCTGTTGAAAAATCTGCACACACACGAATTGAGCCATTGGCCTTTCGTACCACTACGATTGGAGCAGCCCAGTCCGAGTAATCGACTGGTTGTATGACATCTGCTAGCTGTAGGCTATCCAGCTCTAGCTCTACACTGGTTAATGCAGAATAAGGCACCGGACGTTTAGGACGAAAAACGGGTTTAGCATCTGCTCTCAGCTGAAATTGAGCCTTCATTTTGCTACAAAGACCAAGTCCTTCCTGGAAAACTAGTGCATATCGCTGAAATAACCGTTGTGGAATGAACTGCTGTAAACCTGCATCGATTATTACGGAAGGAAGGCTGATACCCTGTGTCAGTTTGCAGACTTTATCAAACGGAATACTCCAAAGATTGAAGTTATTTAACCAGTCAATGCCGAGAATATTCAATCCTGATTGGTTAGTGAGGTAGAATATAAACTCACATTTTGACCATTATAAGATACCAAGCAACGTAACTCACCAACCAAACCGAGAGTTGTTCCGGATGCACTGAGTGCTGTCTGTTGAGTGGGCATAACTGGAGGACTTCCGATGGATTCCCAAATCGTTTGCGAAATAATCGTGATGTCCGATCCTGCGTCTACCTGGAGTCGCTGGATACCCGTTTACACTCACTGTTAGATAGCGTCTTCGCGATGTCGCGTTGACTTGATAGGTAGCAACAATGCTGCGACTAGACTTCTGCGGTGGTTTCAGAAATCGTTTGTTGGAATTGTCAGCTTTAGTAGAGTTGC